TCATCATCATCATCATCATCATCATCATCATCATCATCATCATCATCATCAATTAATCATCATCAATGAATCATCATGACCTGGAAGTTCTCTCATGACCACAGGGCCTCGATCAGTTTCCTCTTTTGGCAATCGTGAGGATCTGATTGATCGATTGGGTCGGGCCTAGACAGAGCGATGTTCAATGATTTTCACAGATACTTGTTTTCTTGTGACATTGGGAGGACTGTGGCAGTTCTGGGAATGAGATCTTAGAGACAAGAAGTCTTTCTTGATGTGAATTGGTCCCAGGCATGGAGTGTGTAGAAAAGACCTCACCATCTCTCATCAATGTACCACCAACATAGTAATAATCAAGCTTGCTTACAGCCAAAGTCGTTGTTGTGCAAACACTGAATAGACCAACATAGCAACAGTCAACGCGTTAAGAGCTTCTCATGTTCAATTCTTCAAGGAGAAGGGTCATCAACTCATCAACCACGAGGCAGAGGGCCGCCTCTCTCTCTCTCTCTCGCTGATACCTCCTCTTCGGGAAAAAAATCAGTTTTTGGAAGTTGTTTGCCATATCTTTGAGTAAGTAAATCAAACATACATCAGCAAAATGTTGTCTTTTGGCAGTGTGTGATCCCCACTGACATTGTTGGCAGTGGATTGTTATCACTGTTCTCCATTTAGTCCCTAGCAGTGAATTGTTATCACTGCTGAGAGACGTCCAAGCTGACAAAGGTGGCCTGGGAATTTTCCAGGTGGCTTTAACCCCCACACCAGGTAAAGAAAAGATCCCTTGCGTACAAACAGGTTGCAAAGAGAGTACGATTTTCTAATGACCCCATTGGCCATTGAAAGGGCCCACTGCAGAGATAACCTTCAAAGATGCATAATGTTTGCACAGTGCAATCATGTATCCAGTGGTTTCAGAGTAGATGGCGCAATCCCACAATCCCCAAGTTCCGTGGTGAATACGGACCCCTATAAAAAAGACATCTTGGGGTGGTCTAGTGCCATTTCTCACCTCTGATGGCCCACTGTAAAGCAAGGAACAACCCCGTCAAGACCCCTCAGCACCTGAACCAGCGCGCGCTTTCGGCGGCCGACCACGCGCTGGTTCCCCCACCACCCGCCGGAGACCTGCCGGTCTGGTGTGGCGGTCTCTCGACCGACCGGAGACCGGCGGGACGACGTGCGAGGCTGAAATGGCGCTGGGACGACCGGAGCGCCGTGGAACGGGACCAGGTGCGGGAAGAAAAAGGGATGAACAGTTATTGTTACTACTAGTAAGGCACTTGTTCCTAGTAGCGTGGCACCTGTTTCTACTAGCTTCTTGTTACTACTAGTAAGGCACTTGTTACTAGAAGCGATGCACTTGTTATAAAGGGAGGGCTTTTACTAAGGGGAAGAGGACGCGCGGAGACAGGGAAGTTTTGCCAAGCTTCGTGCCATAAGAAATCCAACAAACATCTTGCCTTTGAGACAGAGGTGACTTCAAGTGATGAGTTCTTGTATGCTGCACAGATACTCTGCTATATAGGATTTTAAGTGATCCAGGCCCTCTAGGCTTGTCCGAAAAAACAAACTACTGCCGCCTCAGAGCTCAGTACCCTCAGCGTCTCTCAGCGTTCAGTACATGTTGGGTTTTCCTTGTGCAATGCTTTCGAGTTGGATGGATGTAGTGATGTAGAGCCGTTGAACTGGATCTACATGTACTAGTAGTCAAGTCATGTTCTAAAATTAGTGCCATCGACCCGGAAACAGAAGTCAGCTTTTTCCTCTCAGTCCTCTAGAATCTTTGACTCATACCTCCCTCCCCAGACATCCATGCATTCATGGATTCTTTGATGCCTCTACTGTAGAGGCCTGGGAGGTTGAATATACCTAGATCTTCCAACTGTGCAACATTTATGCCTCCCATCATGCATGAAACCCAGCCAAAAGGCAGAAATTCTACCCAGTTGCAAGATCAACCCCACTCTCCAAGGGACGGACCCGGCCGGACCAGCTGGTCCAAGCAGCTCATTGGTGTGCTGGGACCGGGCAAAAGCCTGCCAAGACCGTCAGACGCACCGAGCGCATCGGGGGAATCCCCCAGTCATATTTCTGTATGATCCCTGAGCTAGCTGGATGGCGAGCTGACAGGCGTGTGGAATCTGGGGAAAAAGACATCCTCCAAAAGAGCCCAAAAGTAAACACAGGACGGTTTTTTCAACCCCTCCATATGATTTTTTTTTACAATCGAAATGGCGTGGTTTCATTGATCAATCAAGCATTAAAACATGCAGTCTCCTGCACAAAGCCTCCCAGCTGTTCGCCTTTCTTCAAGCGAAACGGCGCACGCCCGAGCGGCGCGGAGGTGTTGGCTTCCCCTCCCCAGGCAGTGGGCGAAAGCCCAGCGGAGCGGACTGGGTGACGAAGGCGGAGCAGGCTCAGCCGAGCGGGTTGGGCAAAGCTTAGTAGCAAGGACACTACTAATGGCTCCTGGCCTTACTACTAGGAGCAAGAAGCTACTGGTATCTCCCAATCAGGCCAGGGCGGCCCGGGGTGGTTAATATCACGGGTGCAGGTGGTGACCATCTGCAAGACATCCAGACATGCGACCCGAAACGTGGGCGTCCAGACATGTCACAAGTAGACCGGTCAACTGAAAGAACCGGTCAAAGAGCTTCTCACTACGTTCGAGATGGGTAGATGGCCATTGAGTTCACCGAATCATCCACCAATGCCGGCGCAGGGACATGGACATGGACATGGCCCACCGGGCCCACCGGGCACGACTTGAATGAATCAAACACCATCGTTGGGTTTTTTTGGACTGCAGCTCTTTTTGGACTGTTGAAGTGCCTTGCTTGACCAGGATGCAGTGCAGATGAAGTCAAAGCCACTTCCGGAGCTGTCCAAAATGTCTCTTGGCGAATGTCCTGCTTTCATGGAAGCGCGTATCATTTTTGGGAAGGACACAGTGACCAAAACAAGTGTTCTTTTCTTCGTTTTTCTGGGAGTGGGACTTTTTGATGTGAGGGTCTTTGCATGTTTCCCCTCTTTAGATGTCCTTCACCCAGAAAGGCCGATCACTCGTCACCCGTCGGCCGATATATCAAGACCCCACAAACAACCGTGGCCACTCGAACGAGACCCCCTCTGTTTTCAGATGTGGGTCACCGCCGCATTACATGGAAGGCCACCTGCAAGAAAGCTGCCGTACGTTGGTACGTCAAGAATAAGCTATAGTAGAGATTCTTCTAAGCAGTTGGACGACAAAGAACAGATGCCGAAATTGCAAAAGAACGCACCGGAACGCGTTCGAGGTCCCCTCTACAGTCTAAAGGGTTGTTGGAGGCTCGTTTGGTGACGGCAATTCTTAGCGTTTTGAGGACAAGGCCCCGAGAAAACTCCGCCGCCAAGGCCAAAAGCTGAAGATTTGGGATTTCTGAACGAACTGGATTGAACATCGGCTCCAGCTGCCGTTTTTTTTCGGTCATGGCGCTAAGAGACTCTTGAATGTGCATGAATTTGTGAAACAAATCTGGGAGCAAGTCGGCCGCTGGATGCTCCATTCGTGTACACGATTGGTCGTCTCAAAGCAGACTGTGCGCCAAAAAGGGCCGCCAACGACTGCTGTCTCCGCATGGTTTCAACGAAGGTGAAAGGGGGCGTTGGTCTCCTGTGGTGGATGGAAGAAGTGGTTTATCACCTGGGATCATGTGGAGTCTTCCAGCGAACACCGCCCCCCTCTGAAGGAACACGCCACAACACGCGTCATCACGCGTCGTTTGCCACGTCCCAAAACTCTGAGGTAGATCCAGTTCCAATAGTTTTTTGACACATGGTTTTTTTTTGCGCACTGAACAGACTCAGCGCATTTTCAGCATCGCACCCCTGAGTTTGGGTCACAAGGGGCTCAGGGGTGCTTCTGGTGTCACACCCTGAGCCAGGATCGTGCTTGGAGGTCTGAGGTGGTCGCAGGGAGATGTCATGTAATCAAATTATAGATCGATATGTTACATGTCTATCCAGCTGGAGACCAGGTAGCAGCTAACCGACCAGAAAACCCAGAAGAACGGAGCAACTTGAAGTAACCATGAACTGAGAAGGCCGGACCCCCAAGAAGTCCAAAACAGGCCAAGTGGATCAATGAGTCGTGGGAGCTCGCAATAAGGATGTGAGGGGAGAGATTTTCACCAAGCTTTCTGATGGAGTTCCTTGACAGAAGGCAACCTACAAAGAACCATAAAGAAACCAGGTATGGGTTTCGTCCAGCTGGCAGAGTGATAGATCTCCTGCCGATCAAGTCGTCTACACCCGACACCCTCAGAGTTAACGTGTACATGCTGAAGCCTTCGCAGAAGGCAGAAGGGTGTCCGACCAAAACAACGACACCGATGCTGATTTGATATATTAAAAAAATATATAACAGCTTTTATGTGTTGGCTACCGCAGCACATGAGCGCTCACATGTGCAATGGAAGGTGGGTACTGAGAGCTAACGTATATCATTAATGCATATACCTATTTGCCCCGTTGGCTACAGGCACGATCTTCTGTCGTGCGCCGGCGCCGTCCTTCAGGTAAAGGTTCACAGACGTACTGAAAACCTTTGCCACTCTGGTCGTTCTATCCATCCATTCGCAAAACTTGGAGCATCCGCATCTGTCCAGTTTGCACCGCGCCTGACTGAGGTCCTTCCACCTCTCCGTAGCCGTGCGGACCTGGTTTGGAGGCCCGGCCCCTTCGGCCATGGAAGGTGCCGGTGGCCGATTCGGATCGAGGCCCCAGGATTCGGACAGCATCGTATTACGTATGGTTTTTATGTCATTGGCCCCATATGGTTTGCAGATGGTGTTCTTGGTGAATCAAGGAGCCTCGAAGCCAGATACGCCCTGGTCAAGTTGGTCAGGTGCGTTGCTGCTGGTGCACCACTTCTTGGGTGGGCCCAAGAACGTGACCATCTTGCTGGCGGATCACTGCGAGGCAGCAGATGTTTGATCGGTGGCACGGACGGAATTCTCGGTTGGTCCCGCGTCTCCAATGTGCAAAGTACGTCACATCGCTACACGAACTCCGATCCGTGGTAACGATCCATGCCCAACAGCATAATATTCAGGAAAATCATGGAACATCATATTCCACACGTTTACTTTGGTGGATTCGTTGGTTTCTTGTTCCGGCAATGTGTTTGTTGTTGTTCTGATGTTATTTTGATTATTATATGTGTTTGTTTGTTTGTTTGTTTGTTTGTTGTTTTCTACCTGTGTGTTTCTTTGTTTGTGTCACTTTCTTGGTGTTTTGCTTCGGTGTTTTCAGTTGTTTTTTTCCCGCTTGTTTGCTTTCCTGCCTGTTTGTGTTTTTCTGCAAGGCAAAAAAAGGAGGAACAAATCAAAGAAGGAAACAAAGAAACAAACGACAAAACAAGCAAGGAGCAACGGTACCAAAAGGCAAGAAACAAGGCAGCGAACAGGAAGAACGAGGGAACAAAACAACATGCAAAGGATTGCAAAGGAAACAACATAGGACGCAAGAAGGGGCCTAAACTCAGGCGAGGCGCGGCCCTGCACCCCCGCAACCCCGCCACCGACACAAAATCTCAGCAATGTATATCCCCGAAACTTTTAGGAAGAAGGTGTGGACGCCCGTGGTTTCCTTAGGTGATTTGTCAGTTCACAGCGGTCAAAGCTTGTCGGGCCTTTCACGTTGATCGCTAAGGTCTACCACTTCTGCAACAGAAGCATGGGGCCACGTCTACTCTGGTACTCACTTCTTTGGCCGTGCCTCCCAAGCGCAAACGCACTTCCACTGGTCAAAGGCCTTGCGCATCGGGTATTTGTTCCTGCGCGCCTCGATACGCAGCTGCAGAGAGGAGGTGCCCTCGACTTGGAGAAGGAGACCAGTGGTGGGTCGACTCGGCCTTGTATTGCTGCTTCAAGTGCCGTGGAGGAGCCAGCGGGAGAACTCTCCTTTGAGGAAGCCCTGCACGTCGGCCTCCGGCATGCCGTTGAAGAAATGCCCGAGGCATAAAACAAGCTGATTCCGTGGTTGGGCCGGTGGCGGGAAACGGCTCTAAAGAAAAACCAATCCAACTCGGAAACTGACGTTCTCTAGAGTGCCTTTTCGAGGTCCCTCGCACGTCCGCTTGCGTTGTGTTGCTTTCAAACCATGCACGGTTACATGCATGCCGAGAGCGCTTTTGAGCATCTCAAGCTTTTCGTGCCTGCCTCGCTTGCTTGTCGATCTCCACGCCATGTCCGGCTTCGACGTCGCCTGGGCTCAGCAAGTGCGCGCAACGGACGAGGACAGACGGCTTACTTTTGAAACTTCAGTAGAAGGGTTGCAACGTGTATGCAACATGTTGAAGCAACTAACATTCTATCGTAATTAAAGCACCTAGTACGTCGAGTGAGTAGAAGCTTGAATTATATATTAATTCCATCTGTTTTTCAAACACAAAAAACAACTAGATACCAATATCATATGTATATTTCAACATAAATGAAAATAGATACATTATTACATATTCCACTAAAACATATATATATTATTGTTTTCAACAGAGTTTGAATTGAAACTAGTTTAGATAAAAAGAATGTAAAACTAACAATGAACTTGTCAAAAAATAACTCCATCCACATTATTATAATACGAAAATGAAACAGAATGCACATATATATATATATATTTGTTTCATATAGATGCCTTTCTTGAATATTTACATTGCAATATATATATATATAAGTTTTTTGGTTTCAATCATTTACTTATGATGGTTATGTGTGTCTGTGTGTATGTATATATATGTATGTATGTATGTGCGTATGTATGTATGTTTGTTTGTATGTCTGTCTGTCTGTATGTATGTTTGTATGTATGTATGTATGTGAGTATGTGTGTATGTATGTATGTATGTATGTATGTGTGTATGTATGTATGTATGTAAGTATGTATGTATGTACGAATTTATGTATGTAATGTAAGGTAATGCAATGTAATGTAATGCAATGTAGGTATGTATGCATGTATGTATGTATGAATGTATGTACTATTCTTGTGTATACCAGCTGCCTGACAACGTTACATGCGTGAATTGTTGCTTCTGGCAGGAGCGAAACCGCTTGGCCCACGCGATCCACGGCAACGCAGCCATGCAGGAGCCTGAGGATTGATTGTAGAAAACAAAAGCGCAAATTGCTTTGCCACAGCAAGCTTTTCACGCGTCTTTGACTGACGGGGGTCAGCGGGTTCCTGAGCTGCAGGGCCCGGTGTTGTTGCGCTCGTTGTTTCAATTTGCATAGCAGCTTTCCTGAGGAGCGCAATGTCGTGGCCCACAGGGCCAACGGCATTCACTATCGTCGCCGCGAACTTGTCAGAATCGTCAATATTATTGACGATTCTGACAAGTTCGCGGCGACGATTGACTTGTGTTCGAGTGCGAGCCCAGACCCAAAACTCCACACATAGGTTTCAAGCACGAAGCAACCATCCTCTTCAGGGACGACTTCTTCACCGAGTTCTGTCGACCCCTGAGTATGAGGCGCCGGCTGCCCGAGGAAATTTGCTCGCTGCCGCAGCAAATTTTTCACGGCCCTCCTCACAGTTGACCTCGGCATCTATGGGGAGGAGGACAGCCTGCGCAAGGTTTGCGAGGCAGGGAGGTCTCAAGAAACTGCGCGCGTAAGCTTTTGTCGGATTGTTTTTACGCCATGGGCTTCAGTTATTTGCGTGGGTGCAAAGCCATTTGCATTGGCAGTTCGGCGGCCCCGGCAGCCGAGCAGGAACGCGCCCTGCGGAAGCTCAACATCTTCGTCTTCGATCCGCGCGCTGCCAACTTATTTGTTGTGCGTAGGCATTGCCTGTAGCTTGGCGTTTCATTTTTTGCCCACGACATTGAGAAAGCCCCGTCTTTCATCTTTGGCAGGTAGAACTGTTCCGCGAGCTTATATCCTCACGCTGTCATGTGTATTGAACACCGTTCAGCAGGCGGGTCTGCGCATTCGGTCGACCGTGTGACCCCCGCGAGGTGAAAGACGGATTGAACCTTTCGAGGGCTCAGCGCTATGGAGGCTCGATCGCTGGGAATGACGACCGAGTAGGGGATCCACTGATGGGAAGTGGGGTGGTCTTCAGCGAAGATCAAGACCTTGCTTGGACCCACCAATGTGGGATGTGTGAAAACAATCTGGGAGCCCTGGTCAATCCATGCAAGTGGCTTGACCTTTCAGGCGGGTCAACCAAGGAATCCTAGCTTTGACCCTCCAACCAAATGTGTTTATATAAGTTGTTTGTCCTTTTAGAGGGTCTTTTTGGAATTCGGTGACTCCAAGAATCAGTCAAACGGAGACCAGGAACCTCCATGGGACACCGGTCTCCGAGTGCAGTGTAGGTCGGAGGCGGTGGTTCGTTCCCCCCTTGATGAACCATGAAAGCACAGATTACAGACGATACAAGCGCCAGCCTGCTACTTGAGGTTGTGATATGTTGTGTTGTTGATTGTTTAAACAAATATTTATATATGATGATTTACATGTACTGCTGCCGCTTTGATGTGGTTTATGGGTTGGTACTTATTTATGTACTATTCAAATCTAATCAACATGTGTTTTCCCTCGCTCAGATATCCCTTGAAATTGTTTTGCTCCACTTTCCGAACAGCGGCAGCAGACAAAGACAGCAGACTTATGGCCGCGTTTTGTACAAGACATGGCAGCCAACATACTTTCTTGGACTCTTGGGACTACTACCAACAGTGTTTTCGTGTTGACCCATCCGGCCATGGGGTCAAACTGCAGTTGTGAAAATCCAGCCGCAATTCCGGGGGGGCCACAAGACCGGCGGAGGAACATGAGGTCATGAGGAAAAATATTGTTAAACGAAAGTAGAGACTACTATGAAACTGTACCATCATTGAATTTGCCAGTTGCATATATCATATATAATCATGTCATATATCCATTTGGGTATATCAGCAACTTGGCATCTAATGTCACCTTTTATTGGTCTCTCCGCGATTGCCTTCCAGCTTACAAACTGGAACACAACCAACGTTTGACGTCTCAACCCTTATCAATACTGAGTCAGCTGTTTGCTCGCTAGCAAAACCATCAGAGGAAAACCTTTGAGACCTTTCCCCGATTTCCAGTAGATAGCTGGGCAATCATGCAACTGATTCTGCCTTTCATGGGTAGCTCAATTGGCGCTCCAGCCTTCACTACACGGAGGCATCGCGCACCCAGCAGCCAGGCAATCATGGCGGCTTTGGCGTACGGCAGCGTTTGGGCAAGCTGGGACCGTTGGGGAAACCCAGGGGCATGCCGCGGCGTGCAATGTCCTGGCAACTCCTCCAGCCAGCTCCCCACATTTTAGTACGACACGCCCCCCAACCAAAGGCCCCACTGGAGAGACGAAATAAAACGGACACTTATGCGGAAGAATTCGGTAGTGGTCAACTTCTGCAACATGTCATCCAAAAGAAAAAACTATTCGTTTAGACATTGGCTAGAAGACAACATTCCTTTCACCAAAGAGATGTTCCATCAAGTTCCATTTCCTTGAGGGCAAAGCCAGTTATTATGTCTCCCTCCTCAAACTGGTTCCCTTGAATGTTCATCTAAAACCATCCGCTCGCCGAGAGAGTAGCCTGTCTTGTTCCTCATGATTTGGATGGACGGGACTGATTTTGTCTTGGTCACAGCAAGTCAGAGGTCTATTGTGCCATCCTTGAAAGGAAATGAAAGGAAGGGAGCATCGGTGAAGAACAGTTGGTGCGGATGATGTATGTATCATCGTTTGTCTTCGCGGTAGCAGAAGGAGCAGAGATCATGGTTTCCGGGATGATGTGTTTGTTCCTGCGTAACTAGGTAAGTTGCAACTTGGTGCGGTGTGATTGTTTCTGACGAAATCCATGGTGGCCTCAGTGCGTACTGATCATATTCTTGGAGTGCACTACAGGGATCCTTGACCAGGGCCGGGGGGCTACGTCAATGTGTATTGGAGTAGGGCCTAGGGAGACCCACAAATTAATGAGTTCTGGCTGTAAAGACATAAGTTAAGTTTGATGAAGTTTGTTAGTTGGAAATGCCGGGGTCAAGCTGGAGGCCTCCCTATTCTAGTGCACACCAACGTTTCGTGGCGGCTGAGCAGCCAACGCCTCTGGCCAGGCTTTTCTCTGGCTTGCGGGGAGCTTGGGAGAGGCAACATTATGTAGGGAAAGCAGGACGAGCAAGCAAAATCTCAAGGACAAAGATACAGTATGTGCATTTTGCGGTACTCGTGATATAAGTATGAAGAAGAGATGTAAAGCCCTGCTAGTAAAGGGTGTTTACTCATCGAGTTACCAGCCGCATCCAACGGATGCTATTGGTTGCCCTCAGCATTTTGGATTTGACGGGTATTACTTGTCAGCCCCTTCATCTCGTTCAGCAGTTGCTTCTGTTGTCAAGAAAGGCATGAGGATTTGGTCAACGCCAATGGGGTGTTCCATTGCATGGGGCAGAAGAAGATCTCAAACAGATAATCTCTCTGAAACAGAGAGCCAGGACCAGTAGCTGAATGTCAAGATGTTCAAGAATCCATACCGCACAGCACCACCCACTGACGAGGTCAAGCGTACCTCCGATCTGGCTGTCGGGAGGTGTGAGTGCGGAAGGGAAGGATTCCTGCGTCCCTACTCAGTGAGGAAACCGTTTTGGGGCGAGCCTACTTTTCATGCGTCGGCGTTTCAACAAACTTGTAAGGCCCTCAGCACAATGAACACACTTGTTACATGGAATGCTTGAAGACTTCTTTGATCTATTCTTTGCACGCACTGGGGGGCACAACCTTCCATCCAATGCGCACAGCTAACTCGACTCATACATATCCACTCTTCGATACATGGAGTGTAAGCTTGTGCCCCGTTTCTTCCATCCAATGCCCTTTCGGACCTTCGCGCCGATTCACGCCAGGGGAGCGCGTTCGCGGCGTGGAACTGAGCTTCAGCTCGACGGTGGCTGGGACCGCGAAGGGCAGGACGCATTAGGAGATCGGGTGCAGGGAGTGATGGGTTGAAGATGATTTAGATATAGCAAAGAGGTTTTGAAATTTTGGATTTGTCATTCGCTATAACTTACAACTACTGTATATCATTCTGACTATGGATGGAATGCCCAATCCAAGAATTGCAGAGTGGTCATATATGTTCGGGAATATTCCATAGTTGTTCTTACTTGCGGACAACTCTGGTTGTACACCGTCGAGCCAGCAAGCACAAGCAAACTGGACTGCATGTTGATAGTTTTGTTGGTTTGGTGAAGACAACTTAGACGACTATCGACGACTATCAGAATGGCCATTGGCCCCATGTTTCTCCCATCGAAGGTCTCTTGCCTTGTATATACGATACAAGGCGGTCTTTCCTTTTTTGTTTGGTCGACACGCAAGGCATCTACTTTTTAGTAGTAGTTACAATTGTCCGATGTGATTGTTGCTTGTGATTGTTGATCCACATCCAATTCTTTGTCTCGCGATCGTGCTTTTTGACCGGAAATGCGTGCAGGGCCTAGTAGGTCTTAGTCCTAGCTGCGTTTGGACGTGTCTCTGACCTTAAAACATGAACAGACTACCAGAATCTACCAGACATGGTCAACCTTCCGCAGTGTGGTGGGGGAGGTTTTGACATGTGGCTGTGGCCTTTGCACTGACTGGACTGAGTTGTATAGGGAGGTTTTGACATGTCGGCTGTGCGTCATTTAACACCAGAATACCTTGGTTGACCATGCTTGTTCGCTGCATGGTGGACTGGTCGGGCTCCGGGTTGAACGACCCATCGACCCAAATGGATGCGGAGTCAAAACCTGAAGCTCCAAACCCTGGTAAGTTGACCTCCCTGGTAATCGATTCTGTTCAATTTTAAGTGGTCAACCGGTGACCGTCCCGGGTTTTGACCCACGTTTGAACATGGTCACGTCGTTGGGATTCACCACGAAACCATGGCTCCCAATCGCTCCACCCCCGTCTCGTCCGGTCGAAGGGGTGACCTCTGCGACGCCTCCGCGCGATCAATCGGCGAAGCCGAGCCGAGGTTTGGGGCTTTCCGCCAGTGGGCACGGCCCATGGCCGCCGGTCTGAGGACAGAGTGTGTTCTGCAAATCGTTTGAACGGGGTGCTTGGGTGCCCCAAGCAGGATGTGGCGTAACTCATGTGGCTAAGCACTGCAGTTGTGGAATGCTTAGATTGGAAAAGGATGGAAAAGGTCTTGGGCACAAACAGCAGATGTTAACACTTCATTGCCTGTAAAACGACCTCAATGAACTGGTCCAAAATGATCCAAAACGGGGGTCCCCATATTCCAATAATTCTGGTTGGGAGCAGAGGCACAAGTCAAGTGTGTGTGTGTGTGCGTGTGACTCAACTCCTTTTCCACAGAGCCCCAGACCACTTCTGAATGTTTGTTTTTAAGCTCGGATTTCAATTTAGGTAACCTTTACTCTACTCTTCAAGCAGGGGGGCCAGCGCATGGCATCACGACGCTGGCCAACCAAGCTAGTGATGTCATGAGAAGCAGTCAGATACGTCTGACTGTGTACCTGCTGAGTTCTCGTGGTTTTAACAATACTGTTTTTGACCCGTTCGCCTTTCCGTTTGCTCAGGGCCGTCTCTTGCAAGTGGATTTGATAGGTTTGTAAAGTGCTAATGCTGCTAATCTATTCCTCGATTCAGTTTCTGAACTTGTGCTCACTTGAGCTCTATTCTAAGTGTGTATTCGTGGGCCTGGTAGAGATGCAGACACCCGCAAAGAGACCTGCGAAGAGAAATGAAGAGAACACCTTGCGGGAAATGAGCCACACATCAAACTGTTCTACAAGTTGCCAAACAGCCGCATGAGCCACTCTTCAAAAAGACATTTTTTCATACTACTCAAACTGATTCTAACTCTGAAACCGGATGAAGCCCCGGCAACTGTTCTGTTTTTCTTGGAGCACTCTTGGAGCGACAAGCGCTTGCCAGTACGACTGCAGTGGCCGCTTTTGCTTTGGCCTCCGACGTCTCTCGGTGAGCCTCGGACGAGTTGATGGGGTGTGGCAGATGCGGAGCTCAGTCGGCCAGACCATCCATGCGACTGGAAGAGGTACTGACATGGATGGCTCAAACATGGGGTATATATTAACGGTAAATTATATTTTAGCCTCAGGGATGGTCTGGGTTCGGTTGTTTCTTTTCTCCCACGTGGGAGCATGTCGCGAACCGAGGTCCTGCACAACCCCTTTGGACAAAACGACACATACGTTTTCACACAGGAACATGTCATGCATGCATGTAAGTAAAACTTTAGTGCTACTGAGCTCTTTCGACCACCAGTGGATTTTCGATGAACCAAAGCACCTTGACCCGTGTGATGGGATACAAAATATATGGACACGGTTCGGATTAAAGCATGTGGTCATAAGAAAAGCGTAATTCGATCACCGGGGTAAGGGCTTAGAGGTTCTTGCATCAATTGCATCGCTTGATGTATACCTGCGCCCAGGTGATTGTTCAGGATGGTATTCTTGTTCGTTTGAGTTTGGAAAAGGCTACTTCTAGGTGGTTCATCACTTTGTTTTAAGCCTTTTGATGCCTTCTGAGGTTTGTGGGAAAAGGTCAGTTCGAGCTTTGCCATGTACGTCGTTGCTGTAATTGTTAGGTTATGGGCGACAGGAAGAGTTGTCCATGAATGACCGGCTAAGGTAGGCATAAACAGCAGGGCTCCTTAAAAAGATGTTTGGACATCCGTAAGACGGATCTATCAATCACCCGGAGAAATTTCACGCATCAAGACCGGACGGCGATCGAGTCGCACGAGGCCTGGCTGATCTGCTCGCCAGGCCTCCAACAACCCGGTGATCACGTTACGTTCGCCCCTGGACCAATGGCTGACACCGCCCAGGCACCAGCGAAATGGCCGTCGAGCGTTCGGTGAATGGCTATGCTGTCGGTCGACGGTTGAAAGACCGTGGTCGTCAAACAGCGTCTTCCACATTCTTCCACAACACCTGTCAAAACCAGCAACACATTCCCAGACACGACTACTGGGACTGGGTGTATTGATCTACATTGGGGTGGTTGAAGTCGGGGTCAATGAGATGGGCATAGTGATGGGCATATATGACAGACATGGAGTTTTTGGGATTGTGTGCGTGCATGACCAAAGAAGGACCTGCTAAAGACGGACGGACCGGTGCCCTTCGGCGGAGGGGGGGGCGGCAGGATGGGGCTCCGGAAGAGGTGACTGAAAGATCCAACAGACCATCCATGTATGGAAGAGTCACACCTTTACTCCTTTTACCCGATTTAAACCCAAAATGAAGGCCAATGTGGTCACCTTCATCTCACAAAAAGAACCACTGTTGTTTCTCGAGGGACCCAGAGGGATGCCTCAAACACAGCCTTCTCATGGCTTATTATACTTGAGGTATCTTGAGGTCGTCGTTGTGTCCTGACTGGACTACCCAGCTCACTACTAGACTAGGCTTCCAGACAGGCGATCTCAAACGGATCGTTGTAACACAGAATGACAATTATACCTACTGTTGGCCAAGTAAGTCCAAGCTCTTGACCAAATCTCATGCCATCCTCCAACAAGTCACGACCTGCATAGAATTGCATAGATCCGTGGAGCCGTGTGGCTGCTGGAGGAGTGCTGTTGCCTCATCGAACCGCGCTCGCCAGGGCCACCTCTGACGCCGATGGGCCATTGAAGCTTTTCCTGGTGCAACGTGCCTCTGACGCCGATGGAGGGCGATGGAGGGCGATGGATGCTGGAGGGTCTTGGAGAACGCATGGAGATCCTTTAAGGAACCCCCAAAGAATCACACAAACAGTCAATTTTTCTCTAGAAGGTGTGTTCTTCATCTTGTTTTAAGATGTTTTAAGGGGATAAGCGGAACCTTTTGTAGTAGGGGGAAGTTCTAAATGAGTGAAAACGCACTGCTGGCGAACCTTCCCGGAAAGCTCTTTCACCAGCTCCACCAGGGCTTGCAAAGCCTTGATCAGCGTGGATCAGATCGCTTGCACAGGGACTGCGGGGGGGGGTCAGACGGAGGACGCCCAAGGGTGCCTCAGGTTTGTATCATCCACTGGCACCTTCCACCACCCAGTGCCAATACCAGTCCATTATATAATCGATTCATTTCACTTTCACCAATAACTGACTGCCGGTGACTCAATTGTTTGTGCGCATCAAAAAGACGGTCAGCAAAACAGACAAAGACAAGACTGCAAAAACACAGAATCCCCAAATGTGCCCCTGAATCCCCAAATCATGATGATCCTTAAACATCATTTGAACCTTCTTTTTTTTTGGGGCACCACAAGACTCTTTTTGTACCACCCTCCCCACCGGAGCCTTCCACCGCCGGTCTACGACGGCCCACGAGGTTCGCGTGACCTGTCCCGACGTCTGGTGGCACCGGAACGTTTGGCCAGGGGGTCTCAGTGGCCTCGCCCCGCGGTCGCGATGGAGCGATGTCTCCGCGATGGAGCGATGGACGGCAAGGGCCGAAGCCCATCCTGGGGGTTCGGTCCTTCCCCCATGGTCCATGGTGGTTGGTGTATTCCAGAGACGACCACTGGCCTGAAGTGGAGTGGTTTCAGACTCAGATGCGCAAAACGCTGACATGCAGAGGGGTGTGAGGGTCGGTCAAACAGTGGCCTTTCAGATCCTTTCAGGGGTTTCGGTTTAGCCCAGAGCGATGTCACCATGTGACGCGTGTCATTTGCGGCGCCGCGAGGTGTTGGAGGGTCATTAACTTTCCGTTCTTGGGCCCCATGCAATATGGCTTCCATAGAAGCTTGGTCGGTAGTTGAACTCTCTCATGCACCGCACCAACTGTTTTTTGAATGTCAAGTTCAATGACGACTGGTTTACAAGTCTTAGAGGTGCTTTCTTGAAAGCACGCACGGCATTTGGCTACACGAGGAAGTATTGTATACTTCCCAGACAATCCTTAGCAAACCATAACAGGGATTTGTGAGCCTCAAGAAGAAACCTCAGTACTGTGGTTGAAACATGCAAACAAGCGCGATATACAAACCTGAAGGTGTTCTTTTTCTTATTTCATGTTTTGTTGTCGTTTAGAACAGGACGAGACCAAGCACCTGGACACCCGGACACACTCAGAGGTGAAGCTCTGGTCGAGCCCGCGGCGTGGGCGCCCGCCCGGGGTCCGGAGCGGCCGCAGGACAAGGAACGCCAAACAACAACCGGAAGCCTTTGGTTTTCTCCGTACTCAAATGAAGGACATACTTCAAGATCGACGCACGCAGATTGAATGTCAAACATTCAAAGCACAAACTACTGAACGATTGTGGTTTCCGGCAAAATCCTAGTCGTCATAGTCCCTTCAGCCCTAGCTATTTAAACTCCTTCCATGTTCCGGTTCCTTTCCGCACCCTTTCAAACTTGTTCATTGCCCTTTCAACTTAAAACCCTTTCTGTCCTTTTCATGTTTCTCTAAACACCTTTCATCCTCCCTTCACAATTGGCCTGCAAAATCATGCAACATCGTTCCATGAATGCTCCGTCCATCGTTCTTGTAATATCATCGATTTATCAAAGACAAACACATCTCGCTATCCTGAAAAACATTCTGAAGAGTCCAAGCAGATGTTTCCAAACAGATGCAACTCTTGCTGCATTTTGCCGAGTTCTTCGACCGACACCCGTTGATCCTTCGTTTGTTGCCGGCGCGACCTCTCCGTGCCTCGCTCCGTGCGGGCCGTGCCTCCGGCACGCGGCCGTGCGAGGGGACACCCCGAAGTCAACGAACGAAGGATGGAGTGTCAACTTGAAGCTATTTGTTACTAGTAAGGGCCTCCAACCTAATAGCGATGGCCTCCAAGGGGCCTCCAACCTACTGGCTTGCTACTAGGAACTACCAAGTCTCAGTCGTGTGAGTTATCAAGACCTCCCCATGTCCATGGATCGTAACCACGCTGAAATATGCGGGGTTGAAATAATGATGGAGAGGGTGCATGATGCACTCCATACAAGGAACTGACTGCCTTACAAATACATACAAGGCAGGAAAAAAAACATACACATTGATGCAAGGCTGTTCTTGCATCCCATCCTTTTGAAATGGGTCAGTATGCCTAGATGCCATCCCGCTGCTTGCCATTCATTCCTAGATGCGCCGTCAATCCGACCGGGTCACAAAATCAAGATCCACAAGGCAAATCCTGAGCATGCCGCCTAACCATCCATGTAGTGACACGAGATGCTTGTGGACTTCATGCTAGAGCAGGAGAACCGTCCACCTGCTGAAGCGTTTAGCAACTCCTGTGATTTCCGTTTTTTTAAGCGGAGGTGCTTGAACTGCCCTTTCCGCAGCCAATCAGTATAGCCAACCTGGATGCCAGATCAGGTTAATTCATGTTAATTAATTTTGCAGTATATATGGAGTAAGGCGTTGTCGGGCGCATTCATGGTGGGTTTAGCCCGGCAGGCAAGCCTCACCCATGTCAATTTGCCTCACCATAGGCCAGGGTCGCTCCGTTCGGTTCACGTCGCGTGTGTTCGAACGACGCCTCCCAGGTTCGGACGTGTTCGGAGCGTCCTTTGGCGCCCCGAGACGCAAAGCATTCTGGCGCAGGAGCCGGGTCTGGTGGAGTGAAAGACGCATCATGTGACCATGGTCCGGGCCACCAATAAACACATATTAAACACATGGTTGGCTACTTTTTTTCAATCATGAAGGCCTACAAGGCTTTTGGGTTGAAGAATGGGGGACACGTCCCGAGAAACTCTGGATTTGGCCATCATGCCTTCAAGATACACGGATCTAAAGACTGGTTTGTTCATTTGTGGCAACAGGACGATCAGAGGTTGGTGAGATTAAAAAGGGAAGAAACAGAGAACATAATAATGTTATGCACCAAAATGGAGTCCTCTTGATTAATTAACTTCCCCCCAAACCTCTTCCTTGTAGAACCTCTTCATATGGGGCGGGTGAAAATATGTGGTGAAATATCAGGAGTCTACATGAGGGAAGGAAGAGTCCAGACTGGGAGAAAGAGTCCGAACGGGGAGACTTACAGAATACTCACAGAGGACGTCCTTTTGTGAGTGGATGTCAGGACCTCTCTCCACAAAAGGACGTGAACTCGGGATCCCTCAGGGTGTGTCCTTCTTAGGGTGGTTTCGTTTGAGTCCAGGTGTGTCAGGCCATGGAGGTCAGGCCTTTTTTTTGCCCGCTTTCTGGCCACAAGATCTGTTGCTGGACCATCTGGACCCCCTCCGGCCTTTTGAAATGTCATGAAACACCTGGGTCACCAAGGACTATGATGATAGATGATCGTCTGATCGCAGACCATCCATACATGGTTGTAATACATTTACCACATGTATGCCCCCTCCATGTAGGTAACTATTCCATATGTACATGGATGGGGGATAGCCACACTCCATTTTACTGGTAGTGTCTACTTCAGTAGATGAATGATGTGTCCATCGGCGAGGCACGAACACTGGCCCATGCCGATATGCTGGTGGCGGTCACCGGACAGGCATGCGACCAGCATGCGACCGGGTTGCGGGGGTACCGTGGACCGGTTTTGCTCAACACCTGTGGACAGGTGGGAAGAACCAAAGGTAAGCATATAAATTGGCAAGGAAACATTCGATAGTCTTTTTCACTTGAAACCCTCCAGTCCCCCACCAGAGGGCTGTCAGGGATGGTTTCAAAGTCGGTGTGGCAAGAGGAACTTTTTGAGCAAGGTGAGAAGCACCTGGCACCACGCTTGTTCAGGGGTTCTTTCGTGCTACGGGTGCAGTGACGGTTTTGGGGCAAACTAGAACACCCTCGCGATGCCCCTCGGAAACGTGTCCAAGTCGGATCCCGATGAGCGTCAAAACATTCGCTCCTGGCACCGGATCCCCCCCAAAAAACCTCGGCGCCACGAGACACGAGGAGTTCTCCCGTGCTCTCCCCGTGGGCAGTTTTCACGCCACTTGAGGCCTGCGGCTTGGGTGTCTTCCTGCGCCGGAAACGCATCTTATTGGAGGTGCCTCGGATACCCTGGGAACCTGACAAGGTCGGCGGGTTTCCGGAGTGCCGAGTTCAGAAGAGCCGGGGATCCTCATTAGGGCCAGTCACGATTGCTGGAGTTACTCTTGTAAGTTGGCTGGGCTGGGGGATGCAATCGGCTACCCAGTGAAGCATCCGCTGCTAGACCCCCAAAAATATATAAAAATATTGGGCTCAACTCCCCCCTCGGACATGTCGGTTGTTGGAGTTTAAAAGTCATTATATCGATATTCTCCCAAGCTGATAGCATCAGTTTTGGGAACCCTATATAATGCTTTACACCCACAGCTCTCAAGACATTCCCCTCCCCATGGCTTTCGTCACCAACCCCCTCAAGTACTCGCTAGCAGTTGAGCAGGTTCTAGGGTTTTCTAGATTTGTCACCAGACTATACTCTAAGGGCATGCGCAAGACTCTTACTTACCAAAAAGACCTTTTTAGGGGAGCAAGGGAGCCCTGGCGACCCTACCCGTGCCGACCCGCTTGCGATGCGACTCGGTGTGCGAAACGCAGTTCTCGCCGGCCCTGGCGGGGTCCTATGGCTGCCGTTGGGGATGGGTGGCGAGCCTCAGGGACTTGGAGACCGTGAGACGGAGGACGCACTGACCCCGCTCAGCGACTTTGAAGTATAATAGCCTATTGTCAAGACTGACGCAGCATGTAGAGGCTGCATTGGCTAATAGTTTTCATATTACAGTATTTCATTTGGCAGGTGGGGCAAATGTTTGCAATTAGTTTCAACCCCTCCCCCCCTATCCCACAGATAAAGAGGCCAACCCACTCTCTAAATAATAGGGGTAGTTTTGAAGGCACCAAAGCAATTTGGTGTTTTTAGGCAAAATGACTAGCATTCACAAAATCAGCATGAAGATTATATTTATGTGTATATTGAAATATATATACTGTATATATATGTATGTATGTATATACCTAGAAGATCCTTTCGGCAGAAATTCTTTGGGGGGAAGAGCGGCGGAAATCAACTTTTGCCGCGGAAATGTTTTCGTTGCCGCGAATTGTTCCTGTCAGGAATCTAGTCAGACAAAGACTATATATTCTAGAGGAGTTGAGTATGTTTGTGGTTTGCAGTGGGCATGTCTCACTGGAACGGTCACTCCATTAAGAAAACGACACTTAAGTTTCCACCTCCACCTCGAAACCTGGCTACCATCATATCATGTATGCGTCTTTGTTTTTGAAGGTTTCTTGTGCGGAATGAGCACATACGGAGTAAAGCCAGTCCAAAGTTGAAAACACCTGGCGCGAAAATGCCCGTGAAAAAGGCGGAAGTACCCGGGAAAACGGCGGAAATACCTGGGAAAACGGCCGGACATACCCGGGAAACCGGCGGGAAATTTCCTGGCAGAAGGCGGGGTTCACACAACAGTGCCTTTGAAGGGCTTGAACAAATGTTGCAACCTCTTTGTGAATGTCATGAAAAAAAAACCATAGGGTGTGGGATCTTGAGATGTGAAACTGTGTCTGTGAAGAACGATATGTGGTATGCAATCATGGAAGAGACAACCTGGTCGGTGTTAGGCAGTGGTGATGGTTTTTGGAAAGGCTATGTTGAAATTTGCTTGTGGCAAAAACTCCCTGCTGGCCGCGGAAATTCCTACCTGGCGCAGATTTCCCAGAATCCGCGAATCCTGCCGGGCAAATCGGACTGAGGCGGAAGTTTTTGCCCCAGGTGCTTCTAGGTATACACGCTAGGCTTTGAAGATGGCCAGCACACAAAACGAAACAGCATTGGATCCATCAAATGCTGTGAAAAGATCCACAGCAAGCCGACAAGTAAATTAGAAGCCTGTCCTCCTAAACAACGGTGCGCGCCTCGCTGAACAGAACCAGAACATGTTGAGGGAAGTTGACCGAAGCGCTCCCGTTTTGACTGTAGCCTCAGAGGCTATAGCGGGACCACCGGCCTTTTTTTCTCTATCAGTGGATCTGTCAAGATCAAGATCGGCCAATGAAAGCACAAGTACAACTCGGAGCACATGGAAGCGGTAGTGACCTTAGACTGCAGAAGAACAAGAAGAATACATTTCATTTGCACAAATGCCCTGTGAAGGTAAGGAAATTCCTGATCATATCAAAAACATGTTGAACACATGTGGAACACTTATAATACAAACCGTGTATGGAAAACCTTGGCCGCCGCTTCAGAGGCAGAAGGTGCAAATACTTTTGAAAGCCTCAGATTATTGTTTCCGGGAGGTGCAGCCGAGACTGCCGGCAGAGATAAAGGCGCTCCTGCCCAGTATGGCAAGTAACAGGACTGGATTCTTCATTTCTCAATCTTGCTCCCATCCAGATCTAGGGGCCGCGCTGATGCTGAGGCTTTGCTGGTTTCATCCAGATTGAAGAGCTAGGGTGTTTACTTAGCTGTCGGAACAAAACTTGAGCAGCCATGGGTGTATTTATGTTGCTTTTCTCTTCTTCTCCGGGGAGGGAGAGTGAGAGAGCGAGGGAAAGGGCGGGCGGGTTCATGTGTATTTTGTGCAAAATATATATATTTTTCTTTGAAAACCTGTTGGTGAGCACATTTATCAACCCCTTATCTTGATTACTATGTCTTCTATTTGTCCCGGAACCCTGCTAGGGGAGGAATATGCAGCCTTCTATTTGAAGAATTCGATATCTTCTATAATAGTTTCCCGTGCTATACCCGCAGAAAGCGCGACCAACGAAACCAACGCAACCATTTAACAATGAACTTTGAAAAAATTGCTGGCAAGGAGCCACATATAAATTGTCTTTGATATGTTTTTGTGTGTCCTCCTCTCTCTCCCCAAGCAGTTCCCCGTAGATCTTGGGACATTGTTAGTGCTTTCGGAGTTCGTGTTTCGAATATGGCATTGCCAATGCCCAGAACAGAGGAAAGGCGTAGGCCAATCCAATCCTGTACAGAATTTCATGCTTTGGATTTTCGTCGTGGTCCTCCTAACTAGCCCTGCACACATGTGACCATGGCGACTAAATCAAAAGATGCCAAGCAATTGAAGGTTGGCGCCAAAAAAGTTAAAGGTTGAACACATTTTATTTGCAGTTGACTACGCGCAGGGGAGTTGGTCCTTAGAACCAAGTCCTGTGCGGCTTGTAAAGGTCATGAACATCGTATGTAGTAGGGGCCAAGCTAGTTAGCTAGTTAAGGGTTCAGCAATGCAACGCGGAAACTGGTCCAAAGGAACCAAGCACTACGCTTGCTTTGGTCATGAACATTGCTCACCATATAAGTAGCAATGACTGGGTTCACCCAATCCCTGAACACCCATTAGTTCTAGACCCCCATTGGCACGAAATTTCCTTACAGAAAGAGTTGCCAGTCCTCTGAGGTTAGGAGGGCGTACCAAAATACAAATCTTGTACAAGTATAAAAAGTTGGCCCCTGGTCTGCCAAAACAATTGCACCAAGACCAGGACTTTGGCGGTGCTTTTGGTGCGCACTCCTACCCCGAAACACTTCCCATAGGTCTAAGTAGTATTCTTGCACGGCATTATTTTAGTGTTGTTGGCGCTATTGCTTTTGAATGTGGCGTTGCCAATGCCAACAATATAGGCAAAATGCATCTGCAGAAAACTGGAAAACGCATACGTTCACAGCGCAAGTTTCTGATGATGATTTGCGGCGCGCCCTCACTTTCCATGTGGTAAACTCATGTAAATTCATGTACATTCACACCTTCCCTTGAACCATGTGCATGGGTTGGCTAATCTGTGTACTTGAAACCGACACATGTCTAAAGCTTTGAGCGCGACACCATAGCGTTGTTAACGTAATTTTTGCAATTTCCGCGTACCAAGTTGGAAGTGGACCAACTATACAAACATAACATATACAAAATTAATCACAATTATGTGTTTGGTTTATCGTCGCTAGTCTTCGCTGACATCTTAGTTATTTTCGATGAACACATCGCTGACTTAATTTCTGCTTCATGTGCTACCAACTTGGGCTCAACATAATGTGCCGGACTGTCGGGTGCTCTAGATGGTGTAGGCGCGGGTGAAATGTTCACAATTTTTTGTTGCTGCCGCTGCTGCACCAACCTCAGTTTCCAATTAAGCTATATACCATGCCGTGAACGTAATTTTTTCAATTCCATGCTAGTGTTTCGCTAATCCGCCAAAGAATACATTGGATGTTAAAAGCAAATTGGGCACCACAAATAACGCATACGACACACCCACAAGTCAGGCTAGGAGTAGACGAACGCAAGACAGCAAGTATGACCCACCCCTGCAGAATCAGGGTAAATTTGAGCAAACACTAATTCCATCAAACTTCTTGTGGACTTGGACGTTGACATCGATCGAAGTTGAGATTACAGTATATGCTGTTTGTGTTGGAACCGTCCGACATTTTGCCAATGTGGCAGGACATCCCAGAGTTGGAGTTGTGTTTCCTGTTTTTGGCAGCACATGCATTTACATGCATAGTTACAGCAGCTGGAACAGTGGAAGGACATAACAGGAATGTCAGTTCACTACTCTGTTCATTGGTCCCTCTCCCTTCAGTCCTCCGCAAACACCCTGCAAGTTTGCGACCCTTTGTACTAATACGACATTTTTATGTTTATTATGTATTTGTATTAATATGTATTATTCATTGCTATGTTTTGAATCACTTTCTGGCCACGAGGCAAGATGGAGATGTATTCAGATCAGACCAAACATCGAAACAATGCCACGACGTGATTACACTATCCGCCCAGCGCATGCAGTTACCTTACCCCCTTTGACATCTATAGACTATAGCGGCTCCCAAGACTAATTGCGCACAAATGACAAACGATAAAAGGGTTCTTGTGGTTCCGTATGGGACCTCACCAGGATCGAATCGGGGAACCTGGCACGGCATGGCGAACCACTGAGGATATGAACCCCACCACTGAGGCTCGCTGCGATGCACTGCATGCCGGCAATTGGCAATAGGAGATGACGATGGAGATTTGTGGGCAATATGTGGAACAGATGTAGAACATGACCTGGATAGGACTTGGCTTTCGATCAACTCATTAAAAGCATTTGAACAAAGCGCAGAAGTCAGCATGACCCTGATAAAGAGGCTTTATGTCCCTGAATTGGTGTTCAGAACGACCGGATTCAGTTCAGTCAGAAAGACCCTCTCCACCGGTGCCCTCCGGCGGAACCTTTCGCGCGCCGTTGCGCTGGCCAGGTCGGGCAAATTGCCCGTTTGGGAGAACTCCATCACCACTGCGCCGCTCCGCACCAAAGAGACGAATGGCGGGTTCCGGGTTCAACCAAGCGAAGGGCAGACAAGTAGGGCAGGGCAGATCGCGCAAATGGATTTTGCTCAGCCACCGAAGCCTTGTAATCACCGGGAAGAACGCTCTATGTGGATTGCGTGCTGCTTCACCAAAGCTGGTTCTTGCTTGGCGGCGAGATGGCCCAGAACAATTAGTCACCAGAAATCGTTTTTTACGCCAGATCATGCCAGTGACTTCGAACATCCCAGAGGGACTCTGATAGAGCACACCCTAGGATTCGAAACACCATTTATAGGGCCTTTATGGGCTTTTACACAACACCAGGTCAACAATTTTAAAATGACCTTGGACTCCCAGGGTGAATTAAACATTGTGGATTGCGTCGTTTCGTTGTTTGTCCTTTTGCTGCGTGTCTAACTCGACTGCACCACCCTCAAGGCTGGTGTATTATCAATCTCAACAAGCAGCACACCGGTGTCGCCAATCGAACTCGGTTCTACCTTCGACCCAGGTCATGGCCGCGGCCGTGGGGGTGGCTGCAGGGACGCCCGCCGACGCCCAGAGGTGCCAAGGGTCCAGGTGGAGGGCTTTTGGGGCGATGAAGGGGTGGGGGAAGAACCGGGCTTTGAGCTAGCCACACAAATTCTGAAAAAAACTCATGCAAGGACCTAGGCTTTGGACACCAACCCATTGTGTTTTTTTGTGTTCTAAATGTTCTAACACATCCGAGGTGCTGTCTTGTTCGTCCCCCTGGCTTAGCTTTTGACACTCGAGTCTTTCGAGTCTTCACCATGCGTTGGTCCGCCCGTGTTTGGCGCAAAGACGGCCGGAAGGCAGGTGACCGTTTGCTTGTTGAGGTCAAGCTTCTGACGAGAGTCAGCGAAAAAACCTCAATTCATACCCCAGCCTGAAACAGCATGTCTATCACTTGCCTTATAGAGATTGATTGCGCCATCCGTACCTGACCGAGCACCTGTGCGTTGTGGACGTCGCACCGAGCTGGGAGGAGCGCGCTGCTGGCATTAGCCGCACGGAGTGCAGGACGGAGCGCAGTGCAGGGCGGCCGCTTGAGGTGACCGGAGGCGGTGACCGAAGCATACGAAGATAGCTTGAATCGAAAGCCTATGAAATTGGCAGGCGATATACCCCTCACATAACACGTTTTGTGGCTTCCCTGATACACTTGTTTTTGGTTGCGGAGGATATGATTGGACAAAATACCCAGGAAAGCCACAGGCTGACCTTTGGCAGACCTTTGGCTGGTGAAGATGGGCCATTGTTAACATGTGGTTCCTCAATGGAGGAGCCTTACCACTTTTCGATGCAGTTGGTCACCAGCTTTCAGGCTCAGGATCGCCTGCAGGATCTTCACATCCAAGCGACTGATGCAAAGCAGGTGCACAGCCAAGAGTTTGCATCCCGATCCTAACAGGTTTCAGGAACGCTTGGTTTGCGCGTGTCAGAATTATATGGATTCACTTTAAAGCCTTTTGCTGGTTATTGTGTAAGACAGACTCATAGCTTTGGTTTGGAGTAATTGAACGTTCAAAGACTGAGAAGATACTTGGTGCGTCGCATGGGTAGTACAAACGGAAATTCAATGCAGCAGCAAGACCCATACCCATACCCATCATTGATATGGACATGGACATGGTGCAAGGCATTTTTCAAGCATGGAAGGTTCTGATGCAGATGCCGATTCTAGAATAATCCCAGGTTGTAGGTTGTAGGAGATTTGGGTGCGTGGGATCTGCAAACAATATTGAAAGAATGCTCAAGTACGTACTCTCCCGTTATAACTGGGCAGGTCCCTCCCTCGATGGCGGTGGATGATGGCAGTCATTCCCAACCATATTCTTGTTGAGTGTTGCCATGAACAAACCGCCCAACGAACAGTTCCGTGACACCCAACGAGTGTTCCATGCCCCTTTTTCAGCTCACGAACAGTTCCGCGAACCCTCGTGACCCGCAGTTCACCGCCCGGCGGACCCGGCGGGGCGCCATGGCGGCCTCGGCCATCTGGGAGGTCGTCGGCGGCGCCGAGTGGCTCGGTGGAGCGGCTCGACGGGTCGAGGAAAACGGACTCCCTCAAGACGTATCTCCGCATCTCCTTGAGCAGAAATGGAGGGGTGATGGGGGGATGTAGACCGTTGGTTGTTCAATCAGTACCTAAACACCAGCTGCCTTGGGGTTTGGAGATCAGTTCCTAGCTTCTCCCAATAGTACACACCACGGGATCCCATTAGATGCTGAAGATTTTTCTGAGCATTTCTTCTGATTGTGAAATCCCATAGAACCCCTATGAACCCCTGGAAGACACTTTCAAGAAAGGGATACCCAATGCTACCCCAATGCAAGTAAGTCTTGTCAATTGACATGGGCATCGATCTAAAGGTCCATGAAAGGAGTTTCATATGGAACAGCCATTTCGGTTACTAAGTACCAACCAGGCGAAAGACCGCGAAAGTTAAACACAGGGTTCGCGAAGGTTTTTTTTTTGCGAAAGTTCATGTAACCATGTATGTTGTTTGTAGGTAAAGGGACCCTTATTTGTTTGCTTACTGTGATCTTTTCAGACCACCAGCTCAGAAGGAATCAGAGTCTTCCTTTAATTACTATATATACCCATGTACCCGAACTTCTTCTGAATATGTAAGATCATACTTCGCGAAAGTTCGCGAAAGTTAAACATGGGGTTCGCGAAAGTAATCGTTTTTTTTGCGAAGAGGCACTTTCCAGATGAAAGGAATTTAGATCAACCACCACATCTTTCTGTGGAAAAACTATGAAAAACGTGATTCATCCAATCGAGCATCGCTTTGGATGTTCAATCCACCTCAGGAAAGGTGGTATTTTGGTCCGAGAAGAGGCGGACCTGAAGTCTGCAGAGCTTCATTCGCGGCTCGCGCCAGGTGGGAGGGTGTCACACTGTGAGAACCTTTCTTCCATGTTCTTCCATTTTTTGGGTGTCTAGTCTAGGCATGTCAATGACTTGCAACATGTCTTTACTTCGAGTGATCCCCACCATGACATTTCAATCAGTTGTTTCATGGCATGGTGAGGAACATGTAGTTGCTATAGTCGGTGCTTGTGGGTCCTCGGGTTTGGGGTTGTTGTTTTAGTGTTGGGGAGTCCGCGTCGGGGTGTAGGCAGGGTCTCCAGTTGGCATCACCTGCCACGCAAAATGCAACACTGACCGGAATTAACGGTAATTACTGTATATTGTTGTGTTCGTGGCTGTGTGTTTGTGGTTGTGTGTTGTATATGTGCTTGTGGTTGGTTGTGTACTGTGTGCTGTGTTTTGTGTTTTGTATGCTTTGTTGGTTGTGTACTGTGCGTTGTGTATTTGTGGTTGTGCTTGTGGTTGTCTTCTGCTGGCTGTGTATTGCGTGTTGTGTGTTTGTGGTTGTGCGTTGTTAGTGGTTGTATGTTGCCTGTGGTTGTGTGTTGTTTGTGGTTGTGTGTTGTTGGCTGTGTGTTGTTGTTGGCTGTGTCGTGTGTTTGTGGTTGTCTTTGTGGCAGTGTGCTGTTGGTCGTGTATTGTGTGTTGTGTGCTTGTGTGTGTGTGTTGTGTGTGGCTGTCGGCTGTGACTGTTTTGTTGGTTGTGTGCTGTGTGTTGTGTGTGTTTGTGGTTGTGATTGTGCTTTGTTGGTTGTGTATTGTGCGCTGTGTGTTTGTGGTTCTCCGCGTATGCACTTCATGCCCCCTGCATGGCGTAAGCTGAAATGTGAGTCGCGTAAGGAAAGCTCAAGCATGTGCGTAAGCACCCTCCTTACGACCCTTCGCTCCAAAGATAGGTTGTGAACAACGCTCAATTGCGATCGATCTGCGCATGTAAACAGAAGACCAAGCCAAATGAAATACCACAGTCGGTCAAACTGATCAAAGGAGGATTGGGAGGAGCATGCGATTTGCATGTTTCGAATGCATTCGACACAACGACCTTCCAACGTCCAACGCCTCAAAGACACCAATGAAAAAATAGCCCGGCAAGAGACCCCAAACAGTGCGTGTGTGTGAGGTCTAGAGGTGCAGCAGCACAAAGTCTAGAGATCTAGACGCATTGGGGTCCAGAGACGTGATGGTGGTGATGAGTGAGTGAGTGAGTGAGTGACTGAGTGAGTGACTGAGTGAGTGAGTGAGTGACTGACTGAGTGAGTGAGTGAGTGAGTGAGTGAGTGCGTGAGTGCGTGAGTGCGTGAGTGCGTGAGTGCGTGAGTGCGTGAGTGAGTGAGTGAGTGAGTGCGTGAGTGCGTGGGTGGTTGGGTGGGTGAGTGAGTGAGTGAACTTCGAGGATTTCAGGAGGCATGAATGTATATATTGCAAATAGCAGCGAACAAGCCGGCCTTGTTCTGGCTGACTGCAGAACACCTTCCAAATTCCACTTCCAATGGTTTGTTTTTGCCTCCAAGCTTGAAACTCCATCGAATGATGGCTTTTCCTTTCCCATCCGTCGGAGGTGTCTTCGTCCAGCAAGTGGCGCTACAAGGCGAGCGTCTCCACTTCTCGAAGCTTTGCGGCGACGGACCCGACAGCGGCTGGGTCTCTTTGCGGCTGAAGGCGCCGAAAGTCGGGGGCAAAAGAAAAGCAGAGCAAAGAGCATGGCTCGCAGGTGCGCAGGTCGGGCTAGGCAAAAACATCCAAAAATGGTTGTGAACGATGCCCATGGATTTGGCCGATCATAGTTTCTGCACGGTGTTTTTTGAGCAGTGGTTTGTGTGCGTCGTTCAATTGATTTTTATTTATATATATATACATTTGTTTTTATATCAATGCACTGCTATTGCCGCAAGTGGCTAGTCCGGTTATTCTTGGTGTTTCTTTTGGTTAGTTGGGTTCTTTGCGTGGGCACTTTCAACGATTGCATCTTCATCCACACGTTCCACCCGAAACCCTAAACCGATTGCTGTCACACCGGACGGCGTGCGAAGGATGAAGGAAAAACTACACCGACATTTGAGTTGTGTTTTTTTCCTGGAACACTGCACTACATGTTAGGAGGAACTCTTGTTATGGTTGCGAAAACATTTCCTCATGTGTTTCATGACGCGCGAAAGCTTGCGTAGCCATTTCGGGTACAGTCTACAGTGTTTCGTTGCGAAGGCATTTTGCGAAGGCCGTGTTTTCATGCATGTCCTTTATAGAATGGACCGGAGCTAACACAAAACCTTGCGAACCTTTAGCAAAAACACCTCTTACATACATACGTACACCACCCTCGCGTAGGCAAATTTGTTTGGGGATAAAAATTGGCGAAAACATCGTGGAGGTATGGGTATTTAGTGGCTGTCCCCCAGACCACGCACAAAAACACAGCTCATTTGATGCTTCACGTGGGGACTTGCCATGCCTTGCCCCAAAGCACCGGGTGTCCCGCCATGCCTTGCACTCCGTGCGCGGATCGCCGCGGTGAGACCAGGAGAAACCGTTGCTGGAGCAGCGCGGCGAGGCAACATCGTTGGAACTCGAGACCCTGGAGTCGGTTGACACACGGATCCGGTGGATTTGGTGCAAGTGGCACTGGGGACGGCTAGAAGAGGTGCCCCTGGATTTGGAGGACGGATCAAGCTGTTTCATGTTTTCGGTCATTTGTCGAGCAGAACAATCAGAGGTGGTGTTCATTGGAAGGGGTTTCCAACGGTGTTTCCGATTCTTTTGTAATTTTTAGTATGCAACAGTGGTGTGGCAGTGTCCTTATTTTTTGACAAGAACGGATTTGCTGCTGAGTAATTGAGTGCCCGCTTGGTTTGCTTTGGCGGGTTGCGAAGCGGTGGCGAAAAGGAGCTTGGAGAGCAGAAGGAAGCGAAATGCGTGCTGTTGGCATTTCAGATTTGCATGTCACGATTCCCAAAAGCCCTCAAGTTGGCAGAGGAACTCGGAGACCAGAATGTCCCGAGATTAATCGAGCAATGGGTCTCCCGCCATGTGCTGAAAAAGATTTTGTTTTTGATGTGCGAGACCCAAAATTCCGGTGGAAATCACTAGATGGCACACATCTTTCGGAGAAACATCCAGAAACCCTTTTGGATTTGGTGGAACA